ATAAACCTTCCAAATATTACCATTACCATACTTTCATTCAATTAATAGCCTTGTAATTTGTAATTAGACGATCTAAAAGAACTTCTACCAATTAAACAAACTTATGTACCAATAAGAGCATGTGCAATGATGGGTGTTAAGTAATTTTTAGTGAATTGCTAAAAAATTAAAAATAATTAAATAAAAAAAAATTATTTAGCAACTCCAATAAAAATTGCTAATTTAAGAGATTTTAGCAATCCAAAATATGAGTTGCTAAGAACTTTAAAACAATTTATAATAAAAAAATTACTAAACAATTCTACTTAAACTTTTCCATTGATCATGCTCTAAGGCAATAACACATATGTAAACGCTTATTAGAGATAACGGACATGAATAATTTGGAGTCTAAGTTTAAATGGATAAGAGTCTTTTTTAAGTCTGTTTACTTGAATTTTTAAAAAAGTTAGACATACTTTTGTAATAGAAGAAAGAAGAATAAAACTTTCAAAATTACTTAAATTGTTTTTATAAATGCAAAGAATGGAGCTATATTTTGAAGCTCTTTGGTGTAGAATCATGCATAAGGTAATATATATTATTTCCAAATAGAATATGTCCCTAAACAATAATATTGGTTAATCCATTCAAGATTAGTATAAATTGGAGTGAAGTCAATAGGATTCTATGGAGTGATGATGGGCCTGTGTTTGTTGGAGGCTCGACCACACAACAACGCATTCTTGGGCAAAAGATATTCATCTCTCACAGAGTGAACCGGAGAGTAAACTCGGAGATAAAACTGTTGTCCTAAGTATTGCCTTGCCCAGAACTCACTCCTTAGATTCCACATTCCCACATTGTCCAATGCCACGTATACAGCTGTCCAAGACTCTGGATAAACCTGAGTAGTGGAGCGAGAAACAGCGTCCCTGAGGTTATACTCTCGCCTGCTCGCTTGTGACCATGTTCCTCTATCCATCCTGTGAACAACTCACAAACGTCATTCATGAATCAAAATATGATTAATCACGAATAAGAGTATGAGTAAAATAGCTGTTAAATGTTCTCACCCTACAACCCAAAAGCTGTATCCATCAAGATGGTAACTCTGGACGATCTTTTCTCTGTTTTGAAAGACTATCTCAAGGAAAGCCCTGTGGTTTGCTCCCATCACTGCCGTGTCCAGCTTCATCACTCCTCTGCTCGGCTTGTCAGGGATGCTTCCAACTTTGAAAACGCCTCCGATCTTAAAGTAATCCGCCAGCTTCAACGGAGTGTCCGCAGGCACGAACGACACGCTGTTTATGGCGTACCGTTGCTTCTTGTTCACTAGTGCTGCTGAGCTTTCTAGTATCAGAGTCCTATCAATCTTGATTCGACCATAGTGGTACGAGCCTTGAGGGTTGGGCCTTGGACCCGACGCGGTCAGGTTGGTTCTAATGGACCGGGCTTGATTGAGAGACCAGTCTATATCATCTCGAGGCCGTTCAGAGATGACCATACTAGCTTTCTGTTTTGCGTTGGAATAGTGTAGAGTGGATCCGACCATGAGTTTTTTTTTGGAAAATCTTGTGGCAACGACAATGGGATAGTCTTTCTCAGGCTGGTCCATGGTGACTAGAACAGAGTAAGACTGACCAACGTGAATGTCGAGTGAGGTATACATGGACTGGACCGTGTGGATTCCTTCAACCTCAACAAGCTTCATCTGATGGCCTAATATTTTGAAATTCAGGGTTTGTTGAAGCCCCACGTTCGATATTCTGAATCTGTACGTTTTACCTATACAAAATGTGTCCACAAAAGTGATGAGATCAAGAATTAATGCTCTTGTTCGTATTTTTAATAAAAAAATAAACCTTTGTGGACGGTGAGAGAAGAATTAAAGCTGACTCCATTGCCATTGATCAAAACCGTATCAGGCATAGGTAGCTTGTGTCCTCTATCCAAGAGTGCCTTCAAAGTCTGAATTAATCATTTATATGGTCATTATCATATGAAAAGTGCC